GACATTTGAGTCCTACATTAGCAGGAGAGAAACATCTATTATGTTCACAATCCAGAAGCAGAATCTCATTTATTTGCATGCAACCTCTTTCAGCAGCATCACCTCCTCACCTGCAACACATGCTGAGGTATTTTACCCAAATCTTCCACATATTCCTTACATGTGTAACATAAGAAGTGCTGGAAAACAGCAGAGAAACACATTTTGTGTGTGAAAGACATACAATTTGCAATCTTTATAAGTAAAATTTGAGGAATATTTGTGATAAAATAAAACTAAACCCTATTATTACAACAAAACACAAACAAACAAAATAAAACATACATTAAAGCAACTTGTGACAGGTGTATTTAGAGGAATAATATATTGTATGAGTCAAAGTGATACCTATTTAAATAAAAATCATTGGAATATTAAGTGAAAATCACGTTCCAGCAAGACATTTTGTACATTTCCTACAGAAAATATATATAAAAACCTAATTTTTGAATAGAAATTTGCATTATTTTGCACAACTTTAAAGGTGATTTTCTTAATGTTTAGATTTTTTAACCCTCAGATTCCAGATTTCCAAACAGTTGTATCTTCTCCAAGTAATGTCCAATCCTAATCCTAACAATCCTAAAAGATAACTTAATGGAATGATTATTATTTCAGCGTTCATTATGTATGCAGTACATAAAATAACTGATATGACTGCTTTTGTTGTCCAGGGTCAAAAAAAAGAGGGTAAAATCATAAATGATGACCACATGAACAGAAAAACTAAAATAACATCACAAAATAAGACAAATGTTTTTGCAAAATAAGCCAACTGTCCTACCACACTCTCAGAAATAAAGGTATGCAAGTTGTCACTGGGGTGGTACCTTTTCAAAAGGTACAAAAATGTACCTAAAAGTTTCATATTCATAGGCGGAGGGTGAACAAACTCCAGGGTAAGTCTAATATATGCGCTGCCCTTTAATGCGTTTAAAAAGATTTGCAACGACAAAGGAGATGTTTCAACAAAAGCACCGCCCATCAACAAACGTCTATTATATTCAACACACACATTAAATTATTTTATTAAACTAACCCACTGATCTACACTAACCGTCAAAAGTTTGGGGTCAGTATATTTCAGTTTACTTAATTATTAATTGTATTAAAAAAATTGATGAAAAGTATTCTGTTCATCAATTAAGCATTTATTAAATAAAAAAATGTTAAATTGTTTAATACTTATTTGTTAAATATTCATTTATTACTTACTGTATGTAGTTTCAGTTTCCCAGAGATGGGTTGCGGCTGGAAGGGCATCCGCTGTGTAAAAACGTGCTGGATAAGTTGGCGGTTCATTCCGCTGTGGCGACCCCGGATTAATAAAGGGACTAAGCCGACAAGAAAATGAATGATCGAATAATAATAATAATAAAAATATTATAAATTAAATTATATTATATTATATTATATTATATTATATTATATTATATTATATTATATTATATTATATTATATTATATTATAATTGTAGCCTTCTGTCTAAAATGTGTTTTGGCTTGACAGTATAAATATTAGGCACTGCTCTACCTCATGCAGCAAAATCTTTTTTTCAGACCCGTCATTATAAGTGTTGATGTTGTCTTTGTTGTTAAATTGCAAAAACATGTCAAGAATCCAAAATCATTCGCTTTTTCATGAGGCCAATCGAAAACCGAACTTGTAATTAGCAATAAATATTTGACCTTGAAATTTAAAACTCCTAACGATTGCCAAAACAAGACTACACTATACATTACAATGAAACTATACTTTTACTTACAATAACTAAAGTGTTCTGTAAATCATCAACATTAAATGACATGCATATTCCGCTCCGCCTATGTACATATTAATACCTCAAGGGTACATATTAGCACCTTAAAAGTACAAAAGTGTTTCTTTTAAAATTGTTATGTACTAATATATACATTTGAGGTACCAATATGGACCCTTTAAGTACAAACATGTAGCTTCTGATAAGGTTCCACCCCAGTGATAGCTCACGTACCTTTATTTCTGAGAGTGTCTATGAAAACAAATACTGTAGAAATTTTTATTAAATAAAAAAAAACAATTTCAAGTACTGCTTTTATTATTTAAGTTATTTTTATTATTGTGTTTGTATTTAAGTAAGTATTAACTACACTTTAAAACCCAAAAAGTTAGGGAATCTCAAACCATTTGCGGAAACCGATTGCAACAACACTGTAAAAAGTGATTAGTTACATAAAGTGAGTGAACCAACTGCCTTAAAAGCAACAAGTTGACTTTACAAAAACAATGCAAGTAAACTCATTGAAACTTGGAACTGTTAAGCTGACAGAATTTTTATAATTATGCTTATTTTACTCACTTTTTTAAAAGTCAATCAATCCTTTTTACATTCATTCATTTTCTTGTCGGCTTAGTCCCTTTATTAATCCGGGGTCGCAACAGCGGAATGAACCGCCAACTTATCCAGCAAGTTTTTACGCAGCGGATGCCCTTCCAGTCGCAACCCATCTCTGGAATACATCCACAAACACACTTTTACACTACGGACAATTTAGCCTACCCAATTGACCTGTACCACATGTCTTTGGACTGTGGAGGAAACCGGAGAACCCGGAGGAAACCCACGCGAAGGCAGGGAGAACATGCAAACTCCACACAGAAACGTCAACTGAGCCAAGGTTCGAACCAGCGACCTTCTCGCTGTGAGGCGACAGCACTACCTACTGCGCTACTGCCTCGCCCATATCCTTTTTACAGTGTCAGACTATTTTAGCATGTCTGATTTCAAATAATTAATTATTACAATATTAAATATTTGGTGCTTCATTAAGTCTATAAAATTTACAATTTTAACACGTTGGGAGTCTGGAAGAGCAGGTTTATTTTAGTTACTGTCATTTTGCTATATACATAAAATCTTGTAAAAACAAATATAATAAATGTATATTGAAAAAAGTGATTAGTTTACTTTTATTTATAAAAAAAAAGTGAATATGATTTGCATAATAATAAAAATTAAGTCAACTTAACAGTTCCAAGTTACAATGGGTTTACTTTACTTTTATGAAATCAACTTGTTTCTTTTAAGGCAATTGGTTTACTCGCTTAACTAATCACTTTTTACTGTGAAACATTTTAAGTTCAAAAGCTAATCCTAATGAGTTCAGTGAACTTAATCCATTTGAGTACACGAAGCAATTTGATTACAGTAAAACCCAAAACTCAAACCAGCTGAGTACTGTAAAAGCCATTAAGTTAAGGCAGCTCAAACCGTTTGAGGAAACTGATATGCTACAAACCATTTGAGTTAAGAAACTAATCTATATGAGTACTGTGAACTTACTCCATTTAAGGTATTTAACTCATTTCCTTCAACACTGAATTCAAAACATGACTAGAATTAATTTTCTGTCAATTTTAAGTTAACTACACTTATTTTATAAAGTTGACTGTTGGGTTTTACAGTCAAGTATTTATTATTATTGATCTCGGTGACACAAAACTTATAGTAATATTATTGTAATATAGTATAGCAATAGAGTATATTATACTAAGTTTACTGTAGTAAAACTAAAGTATACGGTTTTATTAATTTATCAATTCACTATTCTGCAGTATGCTGAAGTAGTACAAAGACAATTGCTGTAAAATACTATTTTATAAGTAGCATAATATGTTTTAAAAGCATAGTTCAAAAGCACTAGCCTGTAGTAATCAGAATAAATAACAGGCTATGTTTTTCATGTGGTCTCTCTGCATGACATCCGCACACATGTCCAACATAAACAAACAACACTCTTACCCTCACGAAAATGACGATTGCTTTGTTGTGTTCAAACAAACTGCTGAAGGATTTCTTATCGCCATGTCGATCGAATATGAAGCAGTTTTTGAGCTCAGAGAGGCAGATGTTGTGTGAAGCTTGTTTGTTGTCCTGAACCGAACTACTGATCTGTCGAGTGATCGGGTGAACGGCAGCCATTGCGGCTCCTTCAGTTCAGTTTCCAGTTACTTGGATATTTTAGGAAGTTTGTGCTCTACACGCCCATTCCTGCTGGATGACAGAAACCAATCCAGAAATGAAGCCTCGGAAGCGGAACAGAGAGATTCAAGAATGAAAGTAACCTGAAGTGATTATTTGAATTGATTCAGTTGATTTACATTTTATCAATTTCTGTTTGTTTTAGTACATCTATAAATATATATTATGATTCTTTGACCCCTGTATACTACAATTTAAACTTTATGACTTTGTAAACAACTATTTCGTGATTAATTAGCCTATATATATATATATATATATATATATATATATATATATATATATATATATATATATATAAACCAACTCACTAAACGAACTAAAGGCGCTTTTTAATTTGTTATTTAAAACTTATAGCACTGTTACCTCACATCAAGAAAGTTGTTGGTTTGAGTTCTGGGTCAGTTGTTGTTTCTGTGTGGATTTTGCATGTTTTCCCTGAGTTGGCATTGGTTGTCTCCGAGTGCTCCGGTTTCCCCAGTCCAAACACATGCAATAGGGGAATTGATGAACAAAATTGTCTGTAGTGTATGAGTGTGTGTGTGTGTGTGTGTGTGTGTGTGTGTGTGTGTGTGTGAGATTATGTGTGAATGCCTGTTTCCCAGCACTGGGTTGCAGCTGGAAGGGCATCCGCTGTGTAAAACATATGCTGGAATAGTTGGCGGTTTATTCCGCTGTGGCAACCCCTAATAAATAAAGGGACTAAGCTGAAGGAAAATGAATGAATGAATTAATTAATTAATGAAAAGCTAACTAAAAATGTTATTACATTCAAGAAACCAAAAACGAACATACTTCAATAGAGAAAACCTTCTTGGCTAATAAAAACACAAACAAAAAACAAACAAACAAACAACAATAATGTTCCAGAATGTTTTGTAGTAAAGCTTATTTAAAACTGTGGTTATATAAAGGGCAATTCATGCGCAAAATACAATATTATAATAAACCCATATGATTAATGTAACGGAAATTAAGTTTTATTGGCAAATAACAAGATTTTTACAAGTAAAACTACCAAATCATAATAATATTGACAAAAATGTTTTATGACATATTTATTCATTTCCTTTTCAGCTTACTCCCTTTATTAATCTGGGGTCACCACAGCAGAATGAACCGCCAACTTATCCAGCATATGTTTTGCTCAGTGGATACCTTACAGCCGCAACCTAACCCCACACCCATGCTTTTACACACATACACTACACCCAATTTAGTAATCAATTCCCCTACAGCGCATGTGTTTGGACTGTGGGGGAAATCGGAGAACCCGGAGGAAACCCACACCAACACGGGGAGAACATGCAAACTCCACACTGAAACACCCACTGACCCAGCCGGGACTAAAAGCAGCAACCTTCTTGCTGTGAGGCAACAGTGACAACCACTGAGCCCACATGATGCCCCCAGATCGTAACAATATTGACAATTTTTAAATGTTCCTTCATTCATTCATTTTCTTTTCGGCTTAGTCCTTTTATTAATCTGGGGTCGCCACAGCGGGAGCAACCGCCAACTTATCCAGCATATGTTTTTCTCACCGGATGCCATTCCATCTGCAAACCATCACTGGGAAAAACACACAAAAATGTTGTGTGACATAATATACTTAAATTTTTATGCACATCATCCACAGTTTCAAAATGTCAAGACAAAACTTACATAATAAATTACCTTAAAAAAATATTTACATGTGTGCTTTCGCATCAAGCATGTTTAGATTTGTGGTTTAGTTTTTAAATTCTCCAAGAAAGTTAGGATTCTTCTTCTTCTTCTTGTGTGTTTTATGGCGGTTGGCAACCAGCTTTTGGTGCATTATCGCCACCATCTGGATTGGAGTGTGGATCCGGAGTTAACTAACCCATGTATTATAGTCAAACAAAGCCCCACCAAAACAAAAACAAAAATAACAAAAAAAAATTCTTTTTCCTATACATATAAATAAATTACTAAATAAATCCCAACTTACTAATGTCCCAAACTTTTGATATTTCTTTCTCTATAATACCTCTATATGATATAGATAGAAAGTTAGGATAATTTCTATACATGGTTAAGTTTAAAGTATGAAGTACTTGATTTTAAGACAGTAAAATACCCACTTAGCAAAGTATCTCTGGCTCAGCTCTGGCCCACTCATTCAGGTTTTGCTTGGCCCACATGCCACAGTGAATTACAGCTAGACCAAGTCTAGCTTCCAGACAAGAGCCAAACATGAACCAAGGCTGCGTCCGAAGCCGCCTACTACTCAGTAGGTACTGCATTTGAATTTAAATGTTCTACTTGGCTGTTAGAAAAGTGCGTTCTATACAGTATGAACGTGAAAAGTATGAATGGAATTCGGACGTACTACATCCGCCATTTTGGCATGGTCATGTGACCTACCTGCGTCAATTGCGTCGCTTTACTCCCATTCATGAATTCGCTCGCAGGGCATCATGGGATAGCGCAGTGTGAATGGGATGCGCACTAGAATCTTGCAGTAAGTAGTAAGTCATCCGGGTACTTCTCGCATACTGATTGTCGAATTCTATGAATTCTGACATACTACTCGGCTCGCATACTGATTTTAGCGTACTATATAGTATGGAAGTATGTGGTTTCGGACGCAGCCCAAGTCTGGGCATTATCCATAACTGAGCCTGAACCAAACAACATAGAATCACCAAGAGGCGACACTCTAGTGCAATTTAGGAAACAGCCACTAGATGGCGAAGCTGCCATTGTGGAATAAAAACTCCAATAGAACAACAGCATATTATAAGTCTGTAAAATAAACTAGTGAAAGTGCTGATGATCGTGATAGTAAGTGTTGTATTGTCATCTTTCAGGTTGTATCTCAGCTTTAATGCGATTTTTAAATAAATAAATAAAAAACAAAGCAGCTGCTTGCCATCGCGACCTCAATAAGATCCAATTGACAGCCGATTGCTTTCACTCCAAAATGGCGAAATCCGGAGCTGTTGTTGGACGCTGCTGTTGCAATGGAACGCTCTATTGAGTGTCACCTCTTAGTCATTCTAAGCTCTTTGCCTGAACTGAGCCAGATAAGTTGGTGTGTCACGCCCACATAACAAACAGACTTGGCCCAAATGTGGCCTCATTATGGCACTGCTGGCGTGTTGCCGGCACTGGCATGCATAATGTCAGCCAAATGTGTGCCATGCAGTGCAATGATGGCACTGCATGCAAGACGGCAAACTACATTTGGGCCAGTTGTGAATGGGAAGTGTGTGGCCCAGATCAGTGTAGCGATTGTTCACATTGTTTAGGTAACATCCCCCATAGCAAAATTTCTCTGGCCCAGATCTGGCCCACACGATCAGCATTTGCTTGGCCCACATGCCGCAGTGAATTACGGTACATGAATGGACCAAGTTTGGCTTCCATACAAGACGCAAACATGGACCATATCTGGGCCAAGTCTCAGCCAAGTTAATAACTCATAACTGGGCCTGAACTGGGCTAGATATGTTGGTGTGTCACGACTGCAATGTTATTTATGAACCCATGAAGCATTTCGCTTTATGGCCGTGCTTTTTCTTGAAGTGACCTGATTGGTAGAATTTTTTCTTCACTCGAAAATAATTTAAATGCATTTTAAAAGTGGGCTAGGCCAAACTTACGTGGCCCACATATACATTTTAACATCTGGGCCAAATACTACATTTGACATCTGGCCCAAGTCTTGAGTGCCGTCTGTAAGACGGTGCCACCTCAGCCTAACCTGGGCCATGTTTAGCCCACATGCTGCATGCCAGTGCCGGACGAATGCCTGCTGTGCCAGCTTTATGCAAAGTCTGGCCCAGAACATTTTGCTACTTGGGATTAGGCTGGGTTAGGGCTCAGTGTTTGGGGTTTCTGGTTAAAGTATAAACTTATAGCTGTGAATCCGTACCAATAATAAACCTGTTTTGGCCCACTTCAAGCCAAGTTAAGGGTGATAAATTGGGTGAGATTTGGGCCGGTGATGGCCCATGTGTGGCCCTTGTCTTTAATTCAATTCAATTCAATTCAGCTTTATTTGTATAGCGCTTTTACAATGTAGATTGTGTCAAAGCAGCTTCACATAAATGGTCATAGTAACTGGAACAGTGTAGTTCAGTTTTTAGTGTTTAAGTTCAGTTCAGTTTAGCTCAGTTCAGTGTGATTTAAACAATTCAATTCAATTCAATTCAGCTTTATTTGTATGGCGCTTTTACAATGTAGATTGTGTCAAAGCAGCTTCACATAAATGGTCATAGTAACTGGAACAGTGCGGTTCAGTAACTGGAACAGTGTGGTTCAGGTTTTAGTGTTTAAGTTCAGTTCAGTTCAGTTTAGCTCAGTTCAGTGTGATTTAATCATTACTAAGTAAGTAGTAATTAACATTACTAAGAGTTCAAACACTGAAGAGCAAATTCATCGATGCGTAGCTCTACCAATTCTGAACCATGCGAGGCAGTGGCGACAGCGGAGAGGGAAAAAAACTTCACCTGATGGAGTGAAGAAAAAAAACCTTGAGAGAACCAGACTCAGTTGGGCACGACCATTTTAATTTCTCCGCTGGCCAAAAGTCTTGTGCAGAGCTTCAGTCTTTAATCCAGTTATGGGCCACTTCAGGACCGTTATTCCTTGTGGTAGTTGGGCCAAGGAAAAAAGTTATTGTGTGGGCCGGAGCTGGGCCAGAAAACATTTGCTCTGTGGGCACTGTAATGAAATTGATAAACCCATGAAGCAGTGCGCTTTAGGCGTACTGTGGGCATGCTTTTTCTCGAAGCGACCTGATTGGTAGGATTTTTTTTCTTTATTTGAAAATAATAAAAATGTATATTAAATGGGGTCAAGATTTACATATCAATCCTTAACATCTGGCCCAAATACTACATTTGTCATCTGGCCCAAGTATTGTGTGCCGCCTTAAAAAAAAAGAGCCAAATCTGGGCAGAATTCTGTGCAACCTGGGTAGTTGTCTTTTTATAGGAATTGTGATGTTAAATTTTTGGTTGATACTATTGTGGTGTGGGTGGCGCGGTGGCGCAGTGGGTAGCGCTGTTACCTCACAGCAAGAAGTCGCTGGTTCAAGTCCCGGCTCGATCAGTTGGTGTTTCTGTGTGGAGTTTGCATCTTCTCCCTGTGTTGGCGTGGGTTTCCTCCGGGTGCTCCGGTTTCTCTCACAGTCCAAACACATGCGCTATAGGGGAACTGATGAACTAAATTAGCCCTAGTGTATAAGTGTGAATGAGTGTGTATGTGAATGAGTGTGTGTGGGTGTTTCCCAGTGATGGGTTGCATCTAAAAAGTCATTCGCTGTGTAAAACATATGCTAAATAAGTTGGCGGTTCATTCCGCTGTGGCAAACCCTGATTAATAAAGGCACTAAGCCAAAAAGAAAATGTATGACTGAATATTGTGGTGTTGGCCCACGACTTCATTCATGAATGCAGATTCTTTATTTAATTATCATATATTTATTTTTCTTACTGCTATTTAGACTTGGAGGTGTATGAAGATGTGTCTCACGATTGTTGCAAGCTATTATATTCTTTCAAACATTAATTTAAAAAAGAAAAACAAACGCAAATCAAGCATGTTTAGTTTTATTCAAATAGTTTTCTTAAAAGCGCTTATGATTGGCCATCCGCTCCATACAGACAGCAGCTCCAGCCATTGACAGCCCGCTTTAATAGAGAGCGGTGGGCGGGATTTCCTCTGTTATTTGAAATCCGGAAGTGTTTTGAAATATAGTAGCAGGTTGACACCGCGGTTCGTTCGCTCCTGTTAGCGTGTCGTGCGGATTATGAGAGCCCGGGACGGAGCTGCTGAGGGCCGCGTGAGCTGGTGAGCACCGCCGGGGGTTATTAGCACACTTACCGAGTCCTGCTTATCTTCTTAGGACGGAGTTTTAATGGCGTCGCCCGCTACTATCACTCAATGAAACACAACAACAGTCCGCTCCGTCAACACTGACAGCAGTAGCTCTTGTTGATTCTCAGTGTTTATTACAGCAGCACACGCTTTAAGCACACATTTGAGAGATATATAAAGCAGCCCTGTTGTCTTGTACACTCTTCATACACATGCATAAAGTACTGTGGTACACCAGTGGAAATAATAGTACTTATATTAGCTCTAGTTCATTCTCAATCAGCAGAACACGCTTTAATAACATTGAGATGTATAAATCTGTCCTGCAGACCTCTTACACATGCAGAAAGTACTGTTAGACTACTGTGGTACACTATAGTGGCAGTAGTAGGGATATATTAGCTCTTGTTGATTCTCAATGTCTATTACAGCAGCACACTCTTTATTTACACATTTGAGAAGTATAAAGCTGTCCTGTAGACTCTTTACTCGTGCAGACAGTACTGTGGTACACTAGTGGCAATAATTGTAGGGATAGATTGTCATCGTCATGATTACAAACCAAAGATATCACTTGGTATTGTGTGCATAAAACATTATTCGTCATGCTGTTGCATTTGTGTGTTATTATTTCAGCTTTGTGTTTTGAAACACCCAGAGTTATGACTTTACCATTTATGCATTATCAAGTAACTTGCTCTGCAGACTCTTCACCCATGCAGACAGTACTGTGGTAGAGGCAAAAATTGAATAGATAGATTAGCCCTTCTTAATTCTTAATGTTTATTACAGCAGCACACACTTACACATATTTTTGTAATAATACTTATTTTTTTAGAGTTTTTTCAGCTTTAATTTGGATAGGATAGTGGAGGTTAAAGAGAGGAAAGTATTCAGAGCAGAGAGAGAGGAAGGGTCTGCAAAGGACCTTTAGCTGGGAATCGAACTCGGGTCGCTGTGAGCACCATGGCTATATGTCAGCACACTTAACCACTAGGCCATTGGTGCTGACTTTAATCCCACATTTGATTAATCCTCATTGTTTATTACAGCAGAACACGCTTAAGTAACATATTGGTTAAATAACACTAGTGGCAATAATAGCATTGATAGATGATTATCCTCATGATTACAAACCAAAGACTTCACATCACTTGTTATTGTGTGCATAAAATATTATTAGACAGATAGATTGTATATTTATATTGCTTTATCTTCATGCTTTTGCATTTGTGTGTTATTATTTCAGCTTTGTGTTGTGAAACACCCGGAGTTATGACTTTACCATTTATGCATTATCATGTAACTTACTCTGCAGACTCTTCACCCATGCAGACAGTACTGTGGTAGAGGCAAAAATTGAATAGATAGATTAGCCCTTGTTGATTCTTAATGTTTATTACAGCAGCACACGCTTGCATCACTTATTTTTGTAATAATACTTATTACAAAAAAATTAATGCATTAATTTGGATAGGATAGTGGAGGTTACAGAGAGGAAAGTATTAGGAGCAGAGAGAGGAGAAGTGTCTGCAAAGGACCTCAAGCTGGGAATCGAACTCTGGTCGCAGTGAGCACCATGGTGCTATATGTCAGCGCACTTAACCACTAGGCCATTGGTGCTGACTTTAATCCCACATTTGATTAATCCTCATTGTTTATTACAGCAGAACACGCTTAAATAACATATTTGAGATGTATAAGTCTGTACTGTAAACTCTTTACACATGCAGAAAGTATTGTTAGACTACACTAGTGGCAATAATAGCATTGATAGATGATCGTCCTCATGATTACAAACCAAAGATATCACTTGGTATTGTGTGCATAAAACATTATTAGACATTGAGATTGTATATTTATATTTCTTTATCTTTATGCTGTTGCATTTGTGTGCTATTATTTCAGCTTTGTGTTGTGAAACTCCTGCAGTAATGACTTTTACATTTAAACATCGTCAAGTAACTTACTCTGCAGACAGTACTGTGGTAGAGGCAATAATGGGACTAATAGATTACCACTTGTTGATTCTTAATGTTTATTACAGCAGCACACGCTTTATTACACAGTTTTTAATAATTATTCTAAGGGGTTTTTCACCTTTAATATGGGAAGGATAGTGGAGGTTACAGACAGGAAAGTATTGGGAGCAGAGAGAGGGGAAGGGTCAGCAAAGGACCTTTAGCTGGGAATCGAACTCGGGTCACTGTGAGCACCATGGTGCTATATGTCAGCGCACTTAACCACTAGGCCATTGGTGCTGACTTTAATCCCACATTTGATTAATTCTCAATGTTTATTACAGCAAAACACACACTTTATTTACATATTTGAGAAATAAAAACCTGTCCAGTAGACTCTTTACTCATGCAGAAAGTACTGTGGTAAACTAGTGGCAATAATAGTACAGATATATTAGCTCTAGTTGATTCTCATTGTTTATTACAGCAGCACACACTTAAATAACACATTTGAGATGTATAAATCTGTCCTGTAGACTCTTAACCCATGCAGACAGTACTGTGGTGGAGGCAATAATGGAATGAATAGATTAGCACTTGTTTACTCTAATGTTTATTACAGCAGCGCACGCTTATATCACATATTCTATTTATAATAATTTTTTAAAGGGTTTTTCACCTTTAATATGGGAAGGATAGTGGAGGTTTCAGACAGGAAAGTATTGAGAGCAGAGAGAGGGGAAGGGTCAGCAAAGGGCCTTTAGCTGGGAATCGAACTCGGGTCACTGTGAGCACCATGGAGTTAAATGTCGGCGCACTTAACCACTAGGCCATTGACTCTGACTTTAATCATAGATTTTTATACTCTGTTTTTAAACTCTTTACTTATGCAGAAAATACTGTGGTACACTAGTGGTAATAATGGTACAAATAGATTAGCCCTTGTGGATTTTTAATGTTTATTACAGCAGCACACACTTTATTCACACATTTTTTTTTATAATAATTTTTTAAAGGATTTTTCAGCTTTAATTTGGATAGGATAGTGAAGTTACAGACAGAAAAGTGTTGGAAGCAGAGAGAGGGGAAGAGCAAGCAAAGGACCTCAATCTGGGAATCGAACTCGGGTTGCTGTGAGCACCATGGTGCTATATGTTGGCACACTTAACCCCTAGGCCATTGACTCTGACTTTAATCAGAGATTTTTATACTCAATTTTTAGACTTTTTACCCAAGCAGAAAGTACTGTGGTACACTAGTGGCAATAATAGCAAGATAGATTAGCTCTTGTTGATTCTCATTGTTTATTACAGCAGCACATGCTTTAATCACACATTTAAAAGATTTGTAAAGCAGCCCTGTTGTCTTGTAGACACTTTATCCATGCAAAAAATCTGCAAAGGCCCTCATGCTGGGAATCGAACTCGGGTCACCGTGAGCACCATGGTGTTATATGGAGGTGCACTTAACCACTAGGCTATTGGTGCTGACCTTAATCACACATGTTCATATATACTTATAGTTGCCCTCTTACCCAGCAGACCCTTTACTCGTGCAGAAAGTACTGTGGTACACTAGTGGCAATAATAGTAGGGATAGATTAGCTCTTGTTGATTCTCAAATGTTTATTACAGCAGCACATGCTCTAATCACACATTTGAGACATATAAAGCTGCAGACTCTTTACTTGTATAGAAAGTACTGTGGCAGTAATATTAATGATATGCATTCGCATGTTATGTTAAATTATTTTAAATTAGACGCCCCATCCATAACCAACCTTAAATCATACCTGAACTCTGTTTAACAGTTCCAAGTAAACTGTTTTGTGTGGCATTCTCATAAAATCTCTCTGCTTTTGAATATCTTTGTTCGTAATTGTTCTTAGCCCTGTCAATGTTTATCTATTTTGTATTATTATTATAATATTTCCTCTCCTGTTTCTCTTACGTTTATATTCTTTAGCTGTCAATATAATACTTCGCGTCTATGGAAGAAAGAGTCAATAAAGATAGGCAATGTGTAACATCATATTCATCAATAGACGGTTTATGTGCAAGTAACTGCACCCGTCTGAGCAGGGAGCGAGCCAGCATGGGAGACAAGCTCCGATAAGATTGCAGAACAACGTCTGTCGCTGGATCCGAGGACTGAGATTTACGCGATCACCAGCTGGCTTCCGTTACATAAGGGCAAATATAGATGACTAAAACCTCATTTACTCATTTTACTCGTACTTTTTATCATTTATAATGTCCAAGGCATTGATATTAATATTAAATGCTACTTTTGTGCCTTTATTAGCCTTTTTCTCGCCTGTTTACTGGGTTACAAATCTTACATTATTCCATCTCCACCTGCTGGTGAAAGCTAGAGCAGCTGGCGATCTTCACTCTGCAATCTATTGCTTCTCCTGCAGTTCCCGGATGTAATGTTGAATTTTAACAGTCGAATTTGATCCACTGAATTTATGGAAGCGAATATTTGAACTGAAATAAAATGAACTGAAAATGACCTTTTGAATATTATACATCGTATTTTTAAAGGGTATTGAATATTTTGTAAGTGAAATCTGAAAATTGAATATGAATTATTGAATTTTTAAGTATGAAAACGTGTTTGAAATATTTTTCGTTGAAATATTCACAGCTTAAATAAACAGATGTGTTAAATTTCAGGACCTAAAAATACAAACCCTGGAATTCAAGTCATTAAAATGCAAGAACTTGTTAATACGGTGTATTATTTTTTTCAGTTTGTGATATTCAACAAGCTTTTTAATTCAAGACTTTTGGCATTGATTTTGTTCCATAGTATACTCTTTACCCATGCAGAAAGTACTTTGGTTAGAGTCAATAATGGGATAGATAGATTAGCTCTTGCTGATATATAATGTTTATTACAGCAGCACACGCTTATATCACACATTGTTTTATAATAATATTTTTTGGGGGGTTTTCAGCTTTAATTTAGATAGGATTGTAGGATTGGAGGTTACAGAGAGGAAAGTATTAGGAGCAGAGAGAGGGGAAGAGTAAGCAAAGGATCTTGAGACTGAAATCGAACTCGGGTCGCCGGGAGCACCATGGTGCTATTTATTGTTGCACTTAACCACTAGGCCATTGACTTTGACTTTAATCAGAGATTTTTATACTCCATTTTTAGACTCTTTACTCATGCAGAAAGTACTGTGGTACACTAGTTCACCTTTAATTTGGATAGGAAAATGCATGTGGTTTTATCGTTTTTATTACAAAAGTGAATGAAGTTGATGAAGTTATTGTGCTTTCAAATTTTCCAGAGTCACCGTGAATCATCTATATGGGCCATTTTCTCTCCAAAAATGGTTACGGCCTGAAGAAGAAAACACGGAAGCTGCGCAAGAAGAAGAGGCGGAGGAACTGCTTCCTTCAGGGGCCGTGCATGCTGTGCTTTATCGTCCACGGCTCCAGCGGGACGCTCGAGGACGATTGGCCCTTCGAGAGTGGCTGTGCGGCGGCCGTGTCCAAACTCGCAGAGCGATACGTTACCTTAAACTCCCCAGAGGAGTGCGCCAAGTTCCTCCTCTCTCCGGGTGAGCTGGCATTCTGCACTCAAAAACATGAATTTTGTTGCTTGTTCAAACTACTTGTTTAAAATGAGTAACAGCACAATTCTTACGTTTTTTTTTTTTAAACTTAATTGTTTTTAATGTTCAATCCATTTAGGGTGCTTTCACACCTAGACGAACCTGGTGCATTTGTGTCCTCAGCTTGGTTTGTTTGGTCATGTGAAACCTGCAATTACAGTTAGATCCACGCAAAAGCAATCAGTTTAAGATCGCCTAATTAAGGCCCTGTTTACATTAATACGTCTTTAGTAAAAACGATCCACGTCCACACTGGCGTTTCACCTAGCATTTCTGAACGGGTCTCCGTCCACACTACACAGCTGAAATCGAACATCACATGACCACACACACACACTCTGGCATGCGCTGCAGAATATGCGCACGTCTAAGCTCCAGGCAGTCAGTGGGTGCTTTGAGCACACCTCCCCAGGTGAGAGCAGTGCATGTCGGACAGTACACCAAGGGTCTTCCAATGCATCTCATCTTACTAATGTTGTTAAACGTGATATTTACTTTATTTTGTCTCTATTTAACAACACTTTGGTCTTTTGAATCTATTGTTGTTCTCAGGTAACGTGTTTTGGCCGAGCACAATGATAAGTTAATATATTAATGTAATGGTGTACACCAGAGATGGGAAGTAACGAAGTACAAATACTTGTGTATGTACTTAAGTAGATTTTTCTGGGATCTCTACTTTACTCCACTACTTATTTTTTTGACAACTTTTTACTTTTACTTCTTACATTTTTACACAAATATCTGTACTTTCTACTCCTTACGTTTTTTAAACCATGCTCGTTACTTTCGTTTTCATGTGTTTGGTGGCGCAGTCTATATTATGTCTTGTCATTGCGCAATATGAACGCATTTTTGATGCAGTCAGTCTATTTTCCTCATTGCGCCCCTGCGTGCTGCACTGCGCGACCTTTTCAAGGCTATCGCGCACCGTACCTGGGCTAGTTTATGAAGATTACTCTGTGAAAGACTTGGAAGTCGGCGAATTTAACATGACTGATGCTGCCCTGTTTACACGGTTATTAGACACCTTTTACTCATTCGGATCACAGGTAGAAAAGAGATGCACATTTCAGTTTAAAAGCATGCCGTTTTTGCGATCATAGTGCACAGGCTTTCTCTGGTCGTTATAGTGCCTTTTTGTAAATATATTTGTACTAAAACAAACTTTGCTGTGTGAAAGTAGACTGCACCGAGAACATTTTAATCCGTATTTCACAACAAAACAATCGATCTACAGGTGTGAAAGCAGCCTTAAATTTGTAAAAACAAATAGGTTAACTTGCGTAAACCAATTTGTGTTGGGACAACATGAAGGAATTGTATTGAGCCCTGCATTTGTTTACAGTGTGGGAAGGCCAGGGTCGAAATCTGCTGTCTGCCGTGCCGACTAAGCTGATCGGGCCCCCTGCGCTTTTCTGCGAATATTCGGAAATGGTGTGCAAGCGAAAGTGTGCTGATCTGCAGCGGTGTTCGCCCCGCAAGCAGCCGCGCTGTGCCTTCCCGGGTCCCATGGAGAACGGAGAAGAGCGAGGGGACGCCGCCGCTCCAGACAGCCACTGCCTGCTGCCCTCAATCTGCCCGCTGCCTTCATCATCATCATCATCGTCTTCCTCGGCTTCAGAAGAGGATGGAGCGACTGCAGGACGGCATTCAGATCCTGGCGGTGCCACGACCTGCTCATCGTCCTCCTGCTGCTGCCAAACAGAGGCTTCAGAGGAGATAAAGAGCACTGAAAATACAGACACGTCCCACATCAACCAGCTGCCCTCCTCCATACTGCTCAAGGTTAGACACACACTGTGAAGTACTACACGCTCAATTATATATCTTTAGCCAAAAATAAACAAAATCAGAGATTAAAACAATCCCCAAACTAGGGTTGTCAAAAGATTTCAGTACCAATCAGTACAGAAATTTGAATGCTGTTGAGCACGTACTTCAACACAGCTGATTGGTCATTGTGCTCAACAGAAATGGCTGTGATTGGCTGTGAAGGTCATCAGTTTACCATTGTTCACCACTATTTATCTAGTGCAAATACAGATACACGGACACTGGAGCATTTTAAAGTTGCATCAATCAGCTGATCTGTCTATGAACTGAAATAAGAGCGATCCGCTGATGGATCAACTGATCTACACGGCTTTGAAACACTCCAGTGTGCCTGTATCTCATCATAATAATGCAAACTGCCATAAATACTTTCAAAGGACAAAGACTTTTCATGCCTAAGGTTATTTAGAGTCATTAATTAGAGTTTAAAAATGTAAGTCCTATTATATACAGCTGGGATAATAAGTATTGAACATGTCACCATGTTTCTCTGAACACATATTTCTAAAGGTGCCGTTGACTTGAAATTTTCCCCGGATGTTGGTAACAACTACATAAATCCATATATGCAAAGAAGAACAAATCTAATTAGTGTCCAAATTAAGTTCTGTGTAATAAAATGAAATGATGTAGGAAAAAAAATATTGAACACATGAAGAAACGGAGGTGTAGTTGGGCAGTGAAAGCCCAGACAGCAGCTGAAATCTGTCAGTAGTTCTTCAGTAACCCTCTGCCCTTCCTCAGTGTAAATGAACATCAGCTGCTTCAGTCCAACATCTACACTCGTTGGAGGATGAAGATGAAACCAGGGTAGACATTTCAGCAAGACAATGATCCAAAACACAGCCAAGGAGACTCTCGGATGCTTTCAGAGAAAGAAAATCAAGCTGTAGAATGGCCTAGCCAATCACCTGACCCCAATCCAATAGAGAATATGGAATAAAGCTCAGATTTGATAGACGAGACCGACAGAAGCATCAAGATTTAGACACTCTGTTGAAGTCTGTGAGAAACTCACACCTGAGCAATGCATGAGGCTTCATTCTCCATATGAGAGGCGTCTTTAACCAGACAATCATTAGAAAAGCCTTTTAAATAAAGTATTAAACACATTTCAGTAGTTCATCACTTCTCCTTCTGTCATTTTATTATTACACAGAACTAATTTCTCAGATTTTATTGTTTTATTTTATGTTTGTGTTTGTTTGTTTTTTTACCAAAATCTGCTTCAATTCCTTCTCAACAGCTCCAGGAAAAAAACATGACAATGTGTTCAATACTTATTTGTATACTATTCAGTGTCTCTTAAAAAGTTAAGGTAGAATGTAAATGCAATTGTAAAACGGCTTTAATGTTATTTCTGAATTTGTAAATATATATTGTAATGGCAAAAATTATTGATATTGATCATAGTAACAGTTCAGGTAGATCAAACCTGGTCAGGAGCAGGCTCAATTCATATAAACAGGATTAGATTGGGTCAGTTCATGCAAAGATAATACAGAAAGTATGTACCAAATGCTGATATTTTCTTGGGAAAATAGTAAATATATATATATATATTATAAAAAAAAAAATAGAAATATATTATAAAAATATAGTATATATATATATATATATATTTATATTTATATTTATATATAGTATATATATATATATATATATATATATATATATATATATATATATATATATATATATATATATATATATATATATATAGTATATATATATATATATATATATATATATATATAAATATATATAGTATATATATATATTTATATTTATATATAGTATATATATATATATTTATATTTATTTATTTATATATATATAGTATGTATATATATATATATATATATATATATATATATATATATATATATATATAGTATGTATGTATGTATGTGTATATATATATATATATATATATATATATAGTTAAAAATATGTATATTAATAAAACTTATGCAATCTGCACTCCAAAGTGATGTCATTACGCTGCTGTGGTATCAGCCAATCGTTGCATTGGTGATCATGATTTCGAGGATTGATAGATCTGTCCTTCACAACATAGGCATTGATCTCAGATCAGTTCATCCAGACATTTTAATCATGGACTTTTTTGAAGAACCAAATTAGCCAGAGATCAGTTATCAAGATTAAAAGATTATGGATCTGCCAAATCATCTTAGATCATTTAAGCGAGCTACGAAGAACGGACCCCTGATGTTGACTCAGTCGCACATATGAACAGATGAGCAGTGGATTAACTGTGTGTTGATGTTCTCAGGTGTTTTCTCACCTGTCGGTGAAGGAGAGATGTCTGGCTGCCTCTCTGGTCTGTAAATACTGGCGGGATCTCTGCTTGGACTTCCAGTTCTGGAAACAGATCGACCTCAGTGGCCTCCAGCAGGTTTGTGCTCATGCACTTATTATTTAGAACAATATCAGTTATAGTACTATTTGTGTGCATAAACTATAATTCTTAGAAATGTATGGACATAAGAAAAGCATACTTTTATCTATAAAAAAAGTATCTTCATGATATCATTTAATTAAAATAAATGATCAACAATATAATCTGTCTCGACAGTCTGTACAAGTGAAAACATTATCTACACACAATATGAAATCCCGGGCGAAGCAGTGGTGCAGTAGGTAGTGCTGTCGCCTCACAGCAAGAAGGTCGCTGGTTCGAGCCTCGGCTCAGTTGGCGTTTCTGTGTGTGGTTTGCATGTTCTCCCTGTGTTCGCGTGGGTTTCCTCCAGGTGCTCCGGTTTCTCCACAGTCCAAAGACATGCGGTACAGGTGAATTGGGTAGGCTAAATTGTCCGTAGTGTATGAGTGTGTGTGTATGAATGTGTGTATGAATGTTTCCCATAGATGGGTTGCGACTGGAAGGGCATCCGCTGTGTAAAAACTTGCTGGATAAGTTGGCGGTTCATTCCGCTGTGGCGACCCTGGATTAATAAAGGGACTAAGCCGACAAGAAAATGAAATGAATATGAAATCCCAATTAGAAAAACACTACAAACTATAATATACTATTCATGAAAATACTTAAATAACAGACAAATCCAAATGTTCCAACACAATCAAGCTGCGCTGTAGATCAGCTCAGCTCGATGACGTATAATGCCTCCGACACCGCTTGTAATTCCATTTAGCAACTTGATAGCAACCGTCTTTTTAAAGAAGCGTAACCAATTTAAAAAATCCAGAGTGTGCTGTAGCTGATGTGTTTTATGTCGTAGAGTAAAACGTGAAAGTATCTTGAGTTTACGTTAGCCTCGAACCTTATTTAAGCGATTTAACTGAAATTCTATTAAAAAAAAACCATTGACTTTGGGACGAGGGAACCGGAACTGCTGAAATGCTAACTCGCTTCCGGGTTTATGCATACAAATTGACGTCATAGTTCCTTCACTCCTTATGCTGTGTTCACACCAGATGTGGAACGCGCAAATAAATCACGCTATTCACGCGTAAATAGTCGCGTGAACATTTGAGTTTAATTACTTCATTAGCACGTCAAACCCTGCTTCATTCGTGCGTCAAATTCACATCATGCTGTGTTCACACCAGAAGCGAAACGCGCAGATAAATTGCTATATTCGCGCGTAAATAGCTGCGTGAACATTTGAGTTTACTCGCTTCATTCGCGTGTCAAACTCCGCTTCATTCACATGTCAAACTCCGCTTCATTCGCATGTCAAACTCCGCTTCATTCGCATGTCAAACTCCGCTTCATTTGCGCGTTAAATTCACTTCAGAACAGACAGGGCCTCTTTACTGCCCGGTGACTAGCTTCGTTGCTATATGGCTAACATGGATTTTTTTATTTTTTATTTTTTGACTTAAACTTTATTGTTTTTAATAAACATGGTTATCAACAATGGTAATAAAAAGAATGTCTCAACATTGACTTGGTTCAATGTGTATAGCATGGTTGATAACAATATAAAACAAAAAATAAAAAGTTACAAATTATGTATGTACACAAACAAACACGCATATATATACATATATGCATACAGAAAACTGTAAATAAATGTAAGAGAAAAAAACTATATACATAATGTCAGAGAAGTACATAAATGAAAAAAGTGTAAAATTATTGTATAACATCAAACAGAAAAGAAGATAATTTATTGTCACCTATATCCTGAGACATTTTAATTGTTTCTCCTATGTTGTTGAATTAAATTACTTAAGTTTTAATAATGGAGATCAAGTTGTCATGTATTTGGTTCCAATGAAGGATTGTTAAAATCTTCACTTTGTTAATTAAGGCAGTGGACTGTTCTAGTCGAACAATGTCAATAAAATAGTATAACCATTGTTGAACTGACAGGAGATTTGGAGGGAACCAGGAACCAATTATTGATTTCTTTGCAGCTGTTAATCCTGAGAAAAACAATCGTTTTCAGGGTTACTGAAGAGTCATCAATGGCTGACATGAATTTTATGAAGAAAATAACAGTGTTTATGTGCTTTATGAAGGCTGAAAAACAGCCTCGATACGGGTAGGGCTGTGTCAGAGTCCACTAGATTCTTTCAGAGGTGCATCCAGCTCTGTGAGCTCATAAACTCCTCCAGAAACTGAACCTGGATGACGGAGGCTTTCAGCGGTGCTTCTGACTGAGCCCAGCCCAGTTTGATGAACTTTTTGTCGGTGTCGGCTGGAGGATTTTCCCCCGGGACACCTACAACAGGCGATACGTTATAATCACGCCCCAACAAGAGCAAGCTCCTGATTGGTTAACGCGGGGCGAATGTACGCTGAAGTTCAGATTTTTTGAATTCGAGCGATTTGCGCGAAACGCGCCTTTAAGTTTGTCCATCGCGCAAAACGCTCAATTCGCGCCACACCATTCGTGCATTTTGCGTCATTCCCGCCGTGCATTGACTTAACATGTAAATCACTCGCGCTTGATTCGTGTTCTGCGTCTGGTGTGAACGCAGCATTAGAGTTTGGTATCTTTATCTTAGACCCACCATCCCAAATCAAGATTGGTTTTTCATAACATTAAGATTGGGAACCCCTGCTCTACACAGTTCTTTAATGTTAAATTTCACAATGTGGCTCCTGTTCAACTAGAAAAAATGTAAATGTAAATTTTCTAATGTACCAATAAACTAAAACTAAACTGGGTTTGCAGATCTTGTGATGTGACTATTTGCTCATTGCGATATCGATGCTGAAAGATATAGAGCTCTATTTTGATGGTCCATGCGCAAAGTGTAAAGCGCAGGGCGCAAACACTTTCAGGGCGTGTCAGAATCCACTTTTGCTAATATAAGGTCGGAAAAATTCGCTTTGCGCCGTGGCGCATGGTCTAAAAGGGATGGGCTTATTCTCTTAATGAGTTATAGGTGTGTTTTGAGAATAAACCAATCAGAGTCTCATCTGCCATTCCCTTTAAGAGCCAGTTGCGTCGCGCCATAAGCACATTTGCTGTTTACATGGCGTAAAGTAAGTGGAAGTGGAAAAACTGAGCATTTCACTAAAAAGAAAACAGTTGTGAGGATGAGAGATAAGGCCTCTCATAATCTACTTTTGCTCTCGTGGATAGGGAAACATTGTTGGCAAAGACATCAATTAGCCTATAAATAATTAATTTCGTTTGTGAAGAGCAGAGATTTGTTTCAAAACTATTTCTAAATTCAGTTTTAATTTCCAGTAAATGAATAAATGAATAATAATAATGAAGTGTGCTCAAACAACTGAGTTTTATCCAAATACACATGCTGTGCCCCATATGGTCTAAAACCTGACAGGTGGACAAATCTAAGCTTGTTTTTAATAAAACAAATATAAATATGGATATAATAAATAATACTGCTAATAATAATAACATTATACAAAAGCAAATTGTTATGAATGAACTGAAAAAGCCTCCCGAGATGAAGAAGACATGAAGGCAGTTGTTTTTATATTTATGTAGGCTAGAAAATAATAATTCTTGTAATATTTTAATTCTTTATATTTGTATCCTATATCTATTCTTATTATATCCTATATATATATATCCTTAATATTTTAATTCTTTTTTATATGTAAAGATATTTGCGTATTGCTCTACATCTTGTGTGTATTAAGCAGTGTGTAAGCAAGGCGCAACTCTGCGCTGGACTTTTGACCGGCTTTGATCTGGTCTATTGAAAAATTTATTATAGTTTCTCAAAATAGCAACACACCAGCAATGCACCTCAGAACACCTATGGGCGCACATATGAGCAGAAATGCATTTACTATTTAAACAGCGTGCTGAAAAACAATAAAACGACTCTTGCAACAAGCTGAAACTAGCAAACAACTATTGCGTCGAGCCTTGCACCACATTGCGCCGGGTGTATGATAGGGCCCATATTGTTGATTTATCTGATCAGCCACACTTTTTCTGCTGCAGGTTAAAGACGATCTCCTGGTGAAGATTGCATCACGGAGGCAGAACGTCACGGAGATCAACATTTCGGACTGCCGTAACGTTCAGGATCACGGCGTTTGTGCTCTGGCGTCCAACTGTGCCGGTCTGATCAAATACACTGCGTACCGCTGTAAGCAGCTGAGCGACGTGTCTCTGAGTACGGTGGCCATCCACTGCCCGCTCCTGCAGAAAGTCCACGTCGGAAACCAGGACAAGCTCACCGACCACGCGCTCAAACTGGTGAGATCTGACATCAAGAGTCGCATAGAGGAGGCGTGATATTAATCCAAGATTAAACAGCACTGTGCAAAGGTTGGGGCGGCATGGTGGCTCAGTGGTTAGCACTGTCGCCTCACAGCAAGAAGGTTGGGTCAGTTGGCGTTTCTGTGTGGAGTTTGCATGTTCTCCCCATGTTGGCGTGGGCTTCCCCCACAGTTCAAACTGAGCTATAGGGGAATTGATGAACTAAATTGGCCGTAGTGTATGAGTGTGTGTGGGTGTTTCCTAGTACTGGGTTGCAGCTGGAATAGCATTCGCTGTGTAAAACATATGCTGGAATAGTTGGCGATTCATTCTGCTGTGGCGATAAAGAGACTGAGCTGAAGTAAAATGAATGAAAACAAACTCAGCATTGCATGACTATTGCGAATGATCACACTGTGTGTGTGTGTGTGTGTGTGTGTGTGTGTGTGTGTGTGTGTGTGTGTGTGTGTGTGTGTGTGTGTGTGTGCGCAGCTGGGCGATCACTGCAAAGAGCTGAAGGATGTTCATTTCGGCCAGTGTTACAGCATCAGTGATGAAGGCCTGATGTCGCTGGCGCAGGGATGCAACAAACTACAGAGAATCTACATGCAGGAGAACAAGCTGGTAAGTCAAGCTGGAATTTACTGATTTTAAAGCTGGTTGCTGCGCTTGGTGGTTTTGACTGGTGTGGAACACATAATGCAGAGATTTCACAATTCGCTGGTTGCTGAGTTTCAAGCAAAGGTTAGCAAATGTTGCACAGTTTTGTGGAGATCGCTAATAAACATGCAAGAGAACAAGCTGGTAGATCACACTGGCTGCTCGCTGTTTAGTCTGGTTGGCAACTTAGAAAAGCCTGTATTGTTTAAGCCTGTATAAGTCTGAAATGTCGTTGATAATGGTCTTAAAAAGTGTTTAATGTGACTTGGTGGAACCCTTAGAAACCCTAATAACACTTCAGAAACGCTAGCGGGCTGTCAGGTTTCTCTGTTCCTTCTATGTGTTGAGTGTTTTGCTTACTAGACATGGCTGATACTAATTATTTTCTTTCTGATTTGATACCAAGTATTTTAAGACAAGCATTGTAGATCTCTATTCCAATTCGGCAGTGAAATATGTTTTAGTAATTCCATGTTTTTTTTTGTTATCACCTTCAGCTTCATCAACTTTCGCTTTAGGATTTAAAGGGCTGCATTGCACTACACCCCCTTTAAAGGTTTTGTTTGAAAGTGTAGAATCTATATTTTATGCACATATGCATCACTTTGGTTTTTATTCTACTGTACAAAAGTAGTTTACACTTAAATACGCAGTATTTTGCATACCCGAGCTGGATATTGAACATTGGTTCATTTTAATATTGTTCATATATGACACATGTACAAGTTATAGCTCAAATGAAAGCTCTTGCTGGTGCTCATACGGCTCTAGCATTCTTTTTACTGAATTATATTCACATATCAAACAGTTGTTGAATAAATTGCAGTGTTTCCATGGTGCGGAAATGTAAACAATACATTTATGATCAATAAGCAGCCCCAGATAGCACAGACAGCTGTCATCTCTTACCTCATGCTGTGCGCTTCAGGGCCATTCTCCTCTGTTTTTGAGCTGATGTGCATAAGTAATCCTTTTACATGTCTGACGTGCTCCAAACACAGTGAATTATGTTTGATCAAACAGAAGAATAGTGAAATATGAAAACAATGATCGCTCCCTGTGGCTTGTACAGCACCTCTCATCAGTTGGAATACAAAAACTTTTGCATAGATTATGGTGGAGACATTTTTCTGTTTTCCTATGATTACAGACATGTGCAGGAACCTCCAACATTAATTACAGCACCCTAGACCACACACAACCTAAAAGAGACACTTTCAAATTTGAGTTTAATAAAATACAAAAAGCACCTCCTTTTTGGGGTGTTTATTATAACACAGGCAGCATATAGTTATTTTAAACACTTTCAATAGTGTTTTATGAAAATTCAAAGGGTTTTCTTTAAAATGATACCAAATTTTCTGCATTTACACCTCTGCATGTGGATTTGAGAAGCTTTTAAATTTGGGTAGGCAGAATCTAGGCGGAAATCCCCAAATAACAGCAGAGTTTAACTGGTTAATGATCACTCATTAAGAAAAAAAGACATGGGAGGGATTGATACTTCTATTTAAGGATCGATCCTTTTAAAGCATTGCCAGTATCATTAATATCGATATTTAGGATTGATCCGCCCACCTATAATGTTTACAGTGCAAATACTTGTAATATGCAAATACAATAAAAGTGAAGTAGATTTTATAGCTTTATTTAATTTCTGGATAGGCCATTGATTTTAATAGGCTAAACCTTTTATTTTATAGTTAATATTTTTAATGTTTGCTCTGTATTCTATCGTTTGAAGCTATTTGTTGTCCCATATTTTTAACATCCCAACGTTGACAGATTGCAAATCAATAAATAGCTATAGTGCTCTCTGTTAGTTTTGACATCAGCTAATGTTATGGAAGGGCATAGATGTTATGGAAAATAGTAATAGTAATGTAACTACCCCATCATTCCTTCCTCAAGCAAATGTGTAAATATTAGATATATTCAGCATTAATGTTAATTGCATTGGCATATTTATCTGACGTTTTCCCAGCTTGTAGTAGTCGATCAAAAAGCTATTTAGTTTCTTATGACCAGGGCCAGACGGAATATGCGGACGTTTTTTGCTTTTTCTGCTGAGAATTTTGGTAAAAATCTGCGGATTTCTGCAGAATTATTTTGGGAGTATCCAGCGGAGTATCATAACTAAAACCTTAATATATTAAATTAAAAATAGTAATAAATTACTGAATAAAAACTGAATAAAGTAATATTTACACATTTACTCAAGTAAATAAATAGAATTAATAATGGGTTAAAAATCTTCAGAAATCTGCAGTATTCTGCGCGCGCAGATTCCATGTGGGCCTACTTATGACTGTACACTAGCAGTGGAGTTTACTGGGATGTGACGGGGATTGATCATAATCCAGGAGCTTGATCAAAAGTTGATCATATTCTCTTCTGAAAAAAAGAAGAGCATCTTTTTCAACAAAAAATGATCACCGTTACAGCCAGCATCCCACAAAAAGCACTTCCAGCCTCATTTTGTGCATATCAAATCGCAAAATCCAAAAAGCCGCACAATATATATATTTGACTGCTTTGAATGGAGACTTTTTTTTTACCCATTTTTCCATATTAAAGTATTATGGTGGGTCTTGAGATTGAATTACATGCCTAGGTGGGTCCCGGAATGAATAAGTTAGGGAATCTCTGCTATAGGCAATATATCCTTATCATATCCTATATATATCCTTATTTTTTAATCCTTTTTCATATGTAAAGATATTTGCGTGTTGCTCTACATCTTGTGTGTATTAAGCAGTGTGTAAGCGAGGCGCACAACTAACGCGCTCTGTGCTGGACAATAGACCGGCTTTGATCTGGTCTATTGAAAAATCTAATATAGTTTCTTAAAATAGCAACGCTCCTGCAATGCACCTCAGAGCGCCTCCCTTTCCAGAGCAGAACGCCTATGGGTGCTCATATGAGCGCAAATGCATTTACTATTTAAACAGTGTGGCTCAAAACGTCATAACAACACTTGCGCCAAGCTGAAACTAGCAAACAACTATTGCGCCGCGCCTTGCGCCGGGTGTATGATAGAGCCCTTGAACCTGCCTCTGTAAATGAACCTAAACAGACCCTTCAGGAATAGTTTGTTTAAAAAATGTGTAATTGTATGTCTTCTTATTCATGTTGTTTTTTGGAGTTGGAGTTGAGGCTGGTTTATTACCCACAATGCACCGCTGTTTGCTCTCTGTGGTCAAAACACATGCAGATGCGTTTGTGTATTGATTAACTGTTTGTCAGTGTCTCTGAGTAACAAGGACTGTTATTATGCCATCAATCAGTCATTATATTCATCAGCACTGCAAATGATTCTCTGAATTGCCAAACAGATTGAGTTGTGCTGTAAAGAAGATATCTAAAAACTGTCTGAAAGTCTAACAAGATGCTTTCTTACAGTTTATTTTGTTCTGTCACCTCACTAATAATCATAAGCCTTAGCTAGATCAATGATAATATATGCTGCCAGATTCATATCAAATTGCAAGGAAATCTTTAGTTAATAAACACAGATCTGCTTTTTATTATGTGTATCTTGGTTTAAAGAACCATAATTTTTTGTGTATTGAAAAACTTTTTCATTTCGGGCTGCTGCCACATTTTATTAAAACTGAATTTGACGTGTTTTTTTTTTTTGCTCTGTTAAGCTCATTCTTAATTACGATTTTATTTATTTTTATTTTATTACAAACCCTCTTTTTCTTTTTTTATTATTTAATTAATTTTATCATAAATTTTTTTATTGAATGTTTTTTTATTTTTATTTCATTTAATCTTAGAAGTGTATATTGTTTTAAAGAACCCCATTTTTTTTGCATATTCCAAAGCGTTTAATGGGGTTTTTATTGCTTTAATTTTTAAAACATGTTTTTTTTTCTCTTATGCTCTTTTCATTTTTTATTATTTCATAAGTTTATATTGTTTATTTTTTATTTTATTTTAGTTATTAGTTTTGTATTTTCTAAAACACAATTTTAAATTTTTTAATTATTTTTTATTTAATAATTACATTGTTTTAATTATTTTATTTTATTGATCTCTTATCCTCTTTTTTATTTTTAATTATTTTATTTGCTCATTTTATTTTAGTTATTAATTAATTTTGTATTTTTTTAAATGTTGTTATTTTTATTTATTCATTACATTTTTAAAAAATTTCTATTATTTTATTAATCTCTTATCATCTTTTTTATTTTCTTATTATTTTATTTGTTTATATTATTTATTTTTTATTTTACTTTAGTTATTAATTAATTTTGTATTTTATAAAATGTTTTTATTTGCTAATAAAATTAAAAAATAATTTATTTTATTTTATGTGTACCTTGTTCCAAAAACACCTGAGTGCATTTCCGTCTGCCGCCACTGGATGACAGTGTTGTCTCTCTAATGACGAAACAATGTTCGTTTGGTTGGTGGATTTTTGAAGATTACTTTTAATAAAACTCAATATAACATGTGCTTTATTACTCTGTTAAGCTCATCTATATATACCAAAATAAATCGCCAAAAGCTTAACACTAACACATTATCTCAAATCATGCTTCTCCTGATGTGTGATTATGGACAGGGATTTTGACATCTGTGCTGATGTCTGATGTGTTTTAGATCCAGTTGCTGTTTGCAACACATACATTTTTTTGCTTTTGACTGAAGCTAGTTATTCTGGATTCTGATTTAATGGTGGGGCCTTACTTGATGCAAATAAATGAACATATTTTTTATCAGTTAATTTAAGTGAATTTTTCTGGTAATCAAAGCTAAAACTTTATTTGCTTATAGTTGAATTGATTGCTATAGATAAATTAAAAAAATAAATAAATAAAAATAAAACCTGTAACAATTATACATTTTTGCTATAGTTTTCAGAGAAATGTAGACTTATTATTTTTTAATTATTTTAAGTAAATCTATTCGATTCTATCTATTTTTATTATTTTATTAAAGATTTTATAATAATTTTATTTAATAATTTTAAATAAAACTATTTAATTTAATTT